GTACCACGTATGTCAGCAACAGAATTTCAGAGCCTCAAATTCCGAGTCCCATTTGAGAAGGATTTTAGGTCGAGGGCGTGCTTGCCGCACAAGACGGCATTCAGAGCGCGCAGTCACGCAGTGGAACCAGCTCCTCACCTAGTATTTAGGGCTCGGTGAGTTCAAGTCTGGGGACAGATTTAGCCAGACCTTGCAAAAAGTGACTCCAGCTTTGGCAGCGCCGCGAAGGCGCCGTGTGCTGGGGCGAGGTCTCTGCCCTGCCCGTCCCGCAGTCCCCCCGCCGGCTCCCCACAGGTATCTCTCTCCTCTCCCGCTTTGGAACCGGGACGAGTCGGGCTACGGGGCAGCACCCCCGATGGGGACCGCAGTTTTAAAAATAGTGCATCTGCACGTGATGGGAATAGGCAAGCCGGCGCGAGGAGCGGCACCGCCGCCCGCAACGAGGACACTCGGAACAGACGAAAAGCCAAGGCAAGCCCATTCGCGGTACCCACCATCTTGCAGTCATCCAGGGCTCTCTGGGTCTGGTAGGTGCCGTCGGAGCCGCTGCCCCGCCGTTCACTGTCGCGGCTGTGCGGTGAGGTCCTGCTGCCCTGGAAGATGGAGGCGGCGGAGCGGGGGCGCTTTCTGCGCCCGCTCGGTGCAGAGATCATGCACACGCATGGGCCGTGCGGAGCCGCCCGCCGTGCGGGGCCCCGCGGGCGCGGGAAGCGCCTCCACCCCCAGCCGCCGCCGCCGCTCCGAGGAGGGTGCGGGTCCGCGCCGCCCGTCGCCTCGGCCCGGCCGGGACCGGGCCGCTCACGGCAGCGAGCGCGGGTACTGCGGGCGATAGCCTGGCGCCTGCGGGAGAGTCCGGGAAGCGCCCTGCACCATCGCCTCCGCTACCGCGGGGAAAGGCGGAGGGGCTGGCGCCCTCCCTCCTCCAGCAGCATGTCAGTCCCTGCGGAACCGCCCCGCCGGTGGCATGCTCTGCCGTCCTCCCTCCAGCAGCCAGCGGGCGGGTGACGAGCGCGGCCGTGCCCAGCGGGCACGGGCTCCCATCCAGCCACCGCCAAGCCCTGCCTGATGCTCCGGGCGGCGGAGCCCGCCCCGCCCCGCCGCGCCCCTACGCGCTCCCCCCAGCGGCGCGTCTCGCCTTTCCGGGGCGCCCGTCGGGAGACGCCGCTCGGAGGGGCCGGTGGGGCCCGGCGGGTGACGCCGTCAACAGCGCGCCGCCCCCACGGGGCGGGAGCAGGAGCCGCAGCCGCCCCCAGCGCCGGCCGCCAGCCCAGCCCGCCCGTCCGGCGCCCCCGAGCCCGGCCTTCGCGGGAGGCGGGTCAGCGCCGGGGAGGAGCGCCTCCCGTTGCGTGCCCCGGGGAGAAGCCAGCGGAGCCTCCGCAGTGGCCGCAGCCTTACAGATACCCCACTGCTCCAGCCATGAGCGCACCGCCCGTCCGGCAGACGCGGAAGTTTTGTTTTCTGTCACCAAAACCCCTTATTTTGGACTCTAAGGAAGATGTTCGGAGTGTGTGATGCGGCAGCACTGTAGATCGTATTCGTTCAGTGTTGAAGAGGTGAATTAGTAATCGGTTGGAGAAATAGTTTCCTCTTGGGCTCCAGCATGCCAGCACGGTTGGAGTTCACCGGGCTGATGCTCGCCGCAGTCCCTCCGAAGCAGACGGCCGTGGGGCTGTGCCCGCTTCCTCTGAACCCACTTGCCCAGGCCACCCTGGGCACTGAGACAGCCTGGGCCAGCTGCCACTGCCGCGCCGGTCCGGTTCTTCTGTAGCCACGTAGCTGTGGCTGTTTAATTGACTTCTGGTATAATTTTATTTCTTAAGGACGTTAAATAAAAGATTTTTATGTTTCAGTAATGTTCTTGCAAGCAAAGGAACACCAAATGCATCACACGCAGAAACCCAGTCTTGCCAAAGAGTTTGAATATGTCATTGATGGCACCCTGGCTGGTCGAGGGCCTCTTTCCAAGCAGTCCTAAGCGTTACTGACAGACACCCTGGTGGTACCTGTCTGAGTGTGGAAATTGGTGCTAGTCTGCTTGGAAACTTTGTTTAGACATTTCCAGCAACTTTCCCAAAAGGGAAAGCTACTGGATGTGCTAGCGTTGGATTTGCTGTGTTTTGCAAGCGCTGTCATTGCTTTAGGTAAAACTAGAATGACCTTGTAATTACAAAGTTACAATTGTAAACACACTACTAGATCTTCAGCATCCAGACAGCACGAACTTGGATTTTGCAAGTGCTATTGTAAGGACACCACTTCTTTTGCTTACTTTTTTTTTTTTTTTTAAATCCATACTAAACTTAATTCTATTAAAGATAGGAAATAAATGCTTGAATTTGGTGCTGCATGAACACAAGCTCTTAGCCAGGACATCATATTGCTTCCATATCCAGAGAAACCATTACTTAATGACAAGGAAAATGTATTTAATACTGGCAAAAAGCAAATCGAATACATCTCCTCACATCTATATAGAACGAAATACATATATTTGTAAAGGGAAATTAAAACATAGTACCATGCTACATTATTGCTAGTGTTTTAATTGTTGCTCATGTATAATTTTATTCATATGATCTAGTCTTATTTCAGTCTATTTCTAGTCTTATTAAGAGCTACTGTAATAGCAATAATTAATCCTAATTCTAAAACCCAAACCAATAACAATAGATCTTCAAAGAGTGCAGCATGATTAATTGTACATTACCTTCCTTGGCTGCAGTTCTGGTCCCTTCAAGTCTATGCCAGTCTCACTGACTTTTAGAATGGTTACAGTTTAGTTCTTGGCGATATATCTGTCCTATATAAAGCTGAGTCACAGCTGAATTTTGCCCTTCAGCCAACATCTGGGACACTTTTGAAGGCCCAGTGACCTAGAGCATGTTAACTTCTGATTGTATCTTCAGTATGTTCACATTTGGAAGTGGATCTCATGATTCTTTCTACAGTTCATAAGACTGCATATTTTCATCATTCGTCAAGCTGACCTCTGAAATCATCATGGAATGTGATGAATTTGATGGCACCCCAGGGTTATGTTGGAGAAGCAGGAGTCTCCTGATGTTTAATTGATAGCCACAAGCAGGGACTTGTTGCTCGCTCCCAAAGCAACCTCTTAGGACTACAGCTAGGTGACCTTGAAACAGGTTCAGAGAGTACTGTGTCTGTTACACAGTCAAATTCTTGTTATACAGCAATTTTACAGCTCATAATGAAATAAAAGTAAATATGTACGTTTTGCTATACCTACCCTGTATTGTAGTTCTAAAATCTGAACTCAGATTAACTTTTTACTTGGGAGTCTCTCTTGTTCTATTTTGTTGCAATCTTTGTCTAATCTATTTATTTCTCTGATTGTTGGCTTCTGATAACATTTCCCAAGGGTGAGTAGAATGTAATGGACTAGATAAGTTATGAAAGAGACACTGATACACTGATTGGCTGGGAAATGTGAGGAGATGTCTTTGGAGGAAAAAAAAAAAGAAAAGTGAAAAAAAAGGAGGCGAAGGAATGGAGAAGGCAAAAAAGGCCATTTCTGTAGAAAGAGATACAGAGAGAAAACCAAAAAAATAGGTAATAAATAAAGTAATTCTGCATAATCTCCATGGGACAGAAAAAAATAAAACATAAGTGTTAAAGCTGGATTGAAAATGAGAGCCTTAAGAATAACAACAGAGACTTTTTCACATTTCTTTTTTTTTTTTTATATTATTAAAGAAAGTGAGCCAACCATCTTTTTAAGTAAATACTGTACTTTTTAAACAGAGCACAGATTTATTCCCTGGAAATGCAGGGTTGGATCAGTGTTGGAGGTGAACTGCTCAAATTTTGTACCAAGCTTCCTCTGGAGTAGAACTGTTTAACTCTCATAAATAACAGTGTAAAAATGCATTTGAGAATCAGAGCTTCAATTGCTATTTCTTTCTTGTTACTCATGTCCTACAGGCCAAGTATCAAGACAAAAATATTACACCTAGTTTGCATAGAAGTAAATACAGCAGTTCTGACCCTAAATATAGTAATGAAGCTTTTCTTTTGTAGGTTTTATTTTTTTAAAGTGTCTAAAACCAGTTTATCTGGATACTACTCAAAGCAAAGACAGACATCTCTGTTCTGTGAAATTTAGCCGCAGTTCAACAAAGACTACTGATATAAGAGATGAGATTTTAAAGAAAGTAGGAACTTTTTTTAAGTTCCGTTGTGTCATTCTCAACAATTTCCAAGTTTACTTAGGAAACTAATATCCATGAAGTGCATTAGCAGTGGAGATGCTGAGGAAGAGGTTTATTTTGCTTGCAATCACTGAAAGTTTAAAAAAGCATGCACTCATTAGTGAGCTCGTCTGTAGCTGCCAGCCCAGTACAAGCATGTTGCTCCTGGTTATGTATGCATGAAACAATATGCTTAGGCTAGCAAGAATGTCAAAACAGCTTAGTCTGCTTTGCCTTCTTTGTAAGTGTTGCAAGACTCTGACATGGAAGTCATGCCCTGAGGATGCTAGAGATCATTGTGGTGAGATTTTTGGCACTTATGAACTGTTGCATTCCTTAAATCAGAGAATGAAAGAAATTCTAAATCAGATAATCCAGGATATGTTCCCACCTTCTCTATTTCCTTTACAATATGTATTTACATATGTAATTCAACATGAATTCATGTTGAGATACCGATGGAAGCATTCAGGTAGTTAGTCAGCTGTTTCAAATTTAGCCAGATTTGCCTGACACAATACAGGATTCAATGACACGGAAGTCTAAGAAAATGGCCCGTGCAACCAGATTTTTTTTGCTTTCACCTGTATAAGTATTTTTTTAAACATAATATAGTTACTAAAATAATGCTAGTGTCATCAGCACTCTTCTGTTAGGAGAAAAAAACAAATGCCTACTTTAAAAAACCAAACATCTTGACAAATCTTCAAAATGCAGAAACTTGAAAAGCACAAGGCTAACATCAGTTTCTCATTATGAAAGTGTCAATGCAGTAATTTACCTTTATCTGTAGTGTAGCCAATAGAACAGAGATTGATTGCAATAAATAAATATACATTTTTCTTAATGTTACCTTTTTATGACAGAAAACCTGGCATGAAAACAAAGCCACAGAATGAATGGAAGATGAAAAAGACCACTCATAAATCTTCCTGTAAGTATCTGTAAAAAAGTGACAAGAAAAATTACCTTTAAGGTCAAAAAACACAGAACCTGCAAATAATTAAGGACCACTTACAATAACTAACAATTAAAAGCTAATTTTTATGATATTATTTAAATTCATTATGAATTCAAAGTCCCATGACGAATTTCATAAATGACTGGATAGTAAAATAATAGGATAAAGTCTTACATATAATAAATCTGTACATTATTTGTGGAATGGTGAAGTTTAAACTTTTAAAAGTAAAACATTGTTATTATTAAAGTAGAATAGGAACAGCTATGGAAAAGAAAACACTATGGGTTTATGAGGAGCTGTAAGACAGAGGAATGAGAGAATATAGCTTTAGCCAAATGGATGCTTAAGAAATTAATGTCTGTAGATGTATCAGTGTTTTGCTACTTAGCAAATGCAATGTTTGGCATACAGTGGTTTGGAGGCTGTTTGATAGATGCATGTGTGGTAGATGTATGTGTGGTTTTGAAAGATGTATGTGTGGTTTGTGGTTTTATATTAAATGTATAAATTGCAGTTACCTGTGTATTCAGAACACATATATTTAATTAAAAAAAAAACAAACAAGTATAGTCTTTTGAGAATCTGGGAATAACACATAAATACTGAACCCAAATATCTTCATCCCCTTTACTCCTACAGGAAAAATGCCTGCACCAATACAGAGGTCCTCCACTACATCTTCAGGAATGTTTTAAGAAGTTATATGGTTTATAGAAGTGGAATAGATGTTAAATTCTGTAGTCATTATTATGTACATGCTTTTTTTTTCTATAGACCCAGGGGATTACTAGAAATAAAAGTCCTATAGAAAGTTTCTGGTTTAGTCAGTATGAGAAATGGTTTTCCACTTTGTCCATGATTTCTAATAGTCACATGGTTCAGGTGCTCAGAAATGGAATAGCAAGCAGCATAATCTATACCAATGAGAGAAATCTTGCTAGTAGGCTACCTGCACACATTTTTAAAAGGAAGATTATTTTTGTAATATTTTGGCTGTTCTCCTTAGAGATCTAAAAAGCAAAGGTCTGATAACATTTAAAGGACAAATATTTTCAGATTTCAAAAGCACGTCAAAGATGGTAAAACTTCACTACTGTTTCTAATGTAAATACAGCACAAAAATTATACTGTTCCAAGAAATAATCCAAATACAACTTCCAGGACAAACGACCTAGTGAAAATCTGGGAACTAAATCAGACTGGACACTCAGGCCTAGTCAGTTTCATATAATTCTGTTTGTGTTGTCAGATGATGAGAACACAACTCAAAATCAGTAATTTCGTTGGAGGCAGCAGTACTCTGAAACCTCTTCTCGCTGGACTTTGTGAAAAAGCCTTTACTGGCTACTTCATATCTCCGCTGTCCTGCCTGTCCTGATGACCATTCAGTAGCTACATGTTTGAAAGGCTACAATGAAAATATTGTCTCCCTACAGAGCAAACTTTGACTTCAGTTTCAGTTATTCTGTTGTTGCACATTTCTGTTAAATGGTCAGAAGAGGTACAACATTGATTTTTGAAATTGTCATCACTTCACTATGGAATTAATGTTTTATTTAAATGAACATAAATGGATCACATCCTCTTATGAGCTATCACTTGGACTGTTATGTTGTCGCATTTGAAAGATTGTATTAATAACTGCATTTTCATAGTTTCTTTAACTGAAAGCTTAAATAACAAGGAAAATTATGTGGTTTCCATGTAAGTGTCCTTACAGGACACCACAAACAATGACTTTCAATATATGGAGGCGCAGTGCAGTTCATTTTACACGAAAATGCAATGTGGGTTGAATCAAATGATCCACTGATTTCAGTGGGGAAACTTGAGCTTTTATTTTGCCCTACAAGCTTTTTAGCCTTGCTGCTCTGAGTAACCACACTGAAATCAAGCCATTCTTAATAGAAACATATACTGCCAAATGCCTCTGGTTGTACTTGTCCTTAGTCAGTTATCAACCTGCTTCCACCATGCTTATCAAGCAATTTGATAAGCTTGATCAGAAAAAAAGAAAAACCTTTTTTTTTTTTTTTTTTTTTTTACATGGGTATAATTTTCAACTGAAAACAAACAAAACAAACACTGCAATTGTTCTTGATGAATGCTGTGCACTTCTGAGAATCTGGCTGTGCATGTCTGACATACAAGGACAATAACGAGGACCTTCCTTTTTGCTTTCCTGACCTTTAAATTCTACACTATCCTTTAAAAAAAAAAACAACTAGAAAATGATTACAAATGATGGTGCTCCCTGGTGTTATTTCAAGGATATTTACTGAAAGCGTGGAGAGTTTTAAGGAAAACTAGAACTGAATAAACTAGGGAATTTAAGAATATAAAAATGAATCAAAAAAAAACCCCAAAACATAAGATTATCCATAAGAAAGCAAATGAAATATTATATTCTTCCCCACGACCCTGTATTTGAGAATGGTAGAATAATAAGGGGTGTGTCCTTCCACTTGTGGTGGCAGCTGCATTGCCTGGAACCTGAAACATCAGGATGAAGGCTCTGGCTGGCAAACTCTGTCTCCTCTAATTCTTCCTCCTCATTTCTGCTTGGCAGATGACAGAAAGAAGAATAATGCTCTCTAATAATTCTTACCTGGGCTTTGTATGATGGTGAAATAAACAGCTTTCTAAGAGTCAGAAAATGATTAAACAAGATCATCAATTCTGAAGATGGAGGATTTAAAGAGCCATAATCACCAGGATCAATGTTTCTGACAGTTATTTCAAAGGCAAGAAAAGCAAGTCAACTTCACTTTTAACAAATCTTAGATTCAGAAAAGGACACAGCATGTGGGAGGACCTGCAAAGATTAGGAAAGATACAGCACATCTTTGTCTTGAAATATGTTTTAAAATCCTGCATGAGGCTGCTGTGCTGCCAGTAAAGAGCTACGGATTTGAGAATGTATGACTACTCTGCTAAATATATAGGACTGAATTATCCTATACACGCTAAATATATAGGACTGCATTATTCTATACATGCAAAGAAATAAGTGCTTGTTTTCAGTTTTCATGCCTTTTTTAACCTGTTCCTTTTAACTTTGTCTAATTATTTCTTTGCTTTAATTTCTTCACAGTTTATGCTGTACATTTTTTTTTTTAATTGGCCTGTTCTCACCTTCTGTTTGTTCTTCTAGTCTCAAATTATCCTTCTACTCTGTATTTTGTCCTCATTTTTCCCATTTTGTTTCTCATTCATTTCTCTGTTGTCCACAGTCCCATCTGGTTTTTACTGTGTGACCAAAGAAGAGTTTTGTATTCTGCTCTTCTAAATGACAAGTGGAACTATAGTCTTGAAGTTAGTGTGTCAGACCTCCAAATATGAGCAAAATTCAAAACTTACCCTGCATAGGCTAAAGCTTATTATGTGAGGAAGACATATATAAATGAGTTTTAAAAACGACAGAAACATTCATGTTCACACAGATTGCACTACATGGTAGACCTACAGGGCCAGATCCCTAGTTCTGTGTTTGTTTACCGTGAGTAACCATAGAGGACTGGAGAAATCATATTGAATATAGGCTACATATATATAGAATATATATACGCAGGTTATGGTTAATGTCTGCTTATATACTATTTCTTCCCCTTCACTCTGGGGAATGTCAATTCTAAGGGAGGACAAATAGTTTAAAGAATAGCTCAAGGTGTAACCAGTGGGTTACTCTTAACATGGGGTTAACATGAATGGGGTTCAGCAGATGCTTGAGAGTCCACCTTATCTGAGGGATGACAGCACTGGAATATGATTATTAAGTTAGATGACATGAATGCAAAAGGAACTTAGCCAGCTGAGAAGATACCATCTTCTAAAATGTTGTGAAATCAAGTAAAAGAATATGTAAGATACTGCACTTTGGTAGAAGTTATCCACCACACAAATACAAGATTGCGGTAGGCAAAACCCTGCAGAATGGGAACTAGTAGCTTTTTTTGTTGACGTGAAGATGGAACTATCAGTGGGAAAAACCTGTATCATACCAGGAGGTAGAATTAGTGTTACAGCCAGCAAGATAGATGAGATAGTAGTTCCACTTAATATTTACTTGGTCTTGGCTTTACCAGTTGGTGCAGATCTATCCAGTCTGGTGCCTTGCACTTCAAGCAAGATGTGAGCCACTTGGAGAGAAGAGGGAGGGACAAGAAAAGTGATAAAGTGGGCTAGAAAACATGCAGTCTGTAGAGATTGAAAGTGCTGGAACTACATGACTGAGGGAAGACAACCATTCTCAACACCAAAAGGTGCTACAGCATGTTTTTTCCATCATAGAAATAGATAAATTTCATTGAGAGTATCCAGGTTAGAAACAGAACTTGTTTTAATGTTAAGAATAGTGAACAGCTGCATTAAAAAATTTTCTACAGGAGAATTTAGCTGAAAGTTTTTAAGAAAAAACACTCTTCTGCCAGAAATTATGCATGTGTTTTTAATCACCCCTTGGGAGGGAAATTGAATTATAGACTCCTCGAGGACATTTTCAACTCTATTCTTCTGTGACTTTTTGGAGTTATGAAAACATCATGTCAGTTTCATAAGAAATATCAACTTGTAAATATTCCTACAGGAGGTATAAAATTCTGCTTTCACAGTCTTCCCAAGTGTTAGGAAAGGTTTTGTTATTTCATGGAAGTTTGTTTTGGAATTATGAGAGAAATACTTTCTTCCGCTGTTATTTGCCACTACTTCAGCATCATTTTGACTCTTCAAATTCAGTACTGCTGGAAGCAACACTTCTTAACATTAAGTTACTGGAAATGCTTTTCCCAGTAGAGCACTAGTGAAGTGATTTAATGTCACCAGCATCAGTGCTATTAAATATTCCAGAAATTTATATAGCTTTCACAGATAAGGCTAATGAAGAAGTGGGGAAGAAACAAAGGAGGAGAAAAAGAGAAACATACTAACATGAATAAACAGAGTGGAAAAAGCTGAACAGCAACAGGGAATGCTTATGAATGACAAAATAAAGTGAAATGGAAAGTGATAAGAGCAGTTATTTAGGTGTTGACGTCAGACTGAGAAAACACAAGTCAGCGTGACACAGAAAAAGAGCAAGTTCACATTTTGCTTTTAGCCTTCTTCTATTTTCCCTCCCTTTCTATTTACAGGACACTTTCTTTTGACATTTGAAAAAGAATGGAGTGTTCTAAGCATTGTACATCTGTTTTATTTCAGTTGTTTTGAGGAAATGCCAAGTGAAATTTGGTGTAATTCAGCAATGAAAATGAAGTTACGCTTATGCATGAACAGCAAGAAGACTATGTCAAATTGACCTGGGTTTTGTTTGTTCATTTTCTGTAGATATTTATATATTTTCTACAAGATACTTGTATCTTGCTGATATAAAAACTTTGATTCGTTGGATCCACCTTTTAGTGGACACTGCTGAAATCCACCAGCTTGTAGCTACAAAAGGAAAACACAGGTCCTATTTTACACATGCTGCCCATTAGTTGTGTTTGGTAAATAAATCTAAGATAAGTTAAATTCAATAATACTTGTGATTTGTTTGATTATTCCTGGTTGTGGGTGGTCATCTGCAGCTTTTTCATTATAAGCTGTCTCGAGCAGCACCTTCTGTTCTTACCTTTAATGCAGCTTGTGGTCTTTGCATTGTCAACACAGACTAAATTCTTGATGTGATGGACAGAAAGGCATTGTTTGATCTAGTGGCTGAAGTAGTGCTCTGCAAGCCTTAGCATAGCCCTTGTCACAGTAGGACAAGCACATGATTTATACAGTGGCAATGTCTTTGTGGCTCTGCCAGTTCCTGTTATGGAGGTGTACCACAGTATGTCCATGCTCTGCAGAGCTCAGCTTCATAGCATATGCAGGGTGTAGGGCATGCAATTTTGCAAGCTCTTCCCCAACACTCCTTTTCTACAAGAGGCATATCCTTCTCAGGAATGAATGAAGAGTCAAAGTTTGCCTCTAGAACTTCAGAAAGAAAAGGAAAATCTAATCACAGAAGTATGGGGCTATAACATAAAATCATCAGTCAACAGTAACTTCTCTAAAAAAGAAAACAGCTCATCTCTGATCTGTGCTATGTGGAGCAACTACGGGACTATCACTTCAGGGGAACAGTAAATCCACGACCATTTAAGTCTATGTAAGTTTTTTGGTTTGGCCTACAATCTACTTCAAAATTGACAGGCAGACCATATACAGTGTGCTTTTGTAAGGAAATACTTTTTAATAAATAGAGTAATTGACTCTGAGTTGAAACAGACTTTGGTTCTGATGTGGGCAGCAAGTGTTCAGACTCCCAAATGAGATTGTGATAAATAGCTTTGGAATGAGTAGACAACAAAACTGGCTACTGAAAACAACAGTGTGGTAACCCAGAAAATAATGAAACACAAGCTAGTTTGTTCAGCAGCTACCCACATAAGTAAGGCAAAGGTCCTTTAGGGTTGCTAAGCCAGTACAAGACTTCTTACGAGCCAGAAAGGGAAAGCAAAAATACATCAAGTCGATGATTCTTTTTTATAATGGGATTTTTTTCTTTTTTGTTTTGATTTGTGTTTCCAAACATATCTGTCCTTTCAGCCACGGATTTCGTTGGACGGAAGGATGAGGTCACCTAGTCTTTTTTGAGTTCCTATTATTTTGGTTACTCTTTTGCAAAGCTCAAAGGCTAGTTAATTTTTAGGAGGTAAATTTAATTCCTTTTAATCAAATTTGTTTTTCAGCTCTTGTTTTACATATACGCCAGAGCAAGAATGTATGCAGCATGAAACATGAGAAGATCATATTTTTCAAAGAAAAGTGGTTTTATCGGTAAAAATCTGCCTGTGTGCACGTTAACAGTCGCTTTCATATTAAATACTCCTCCTGCTCATGCTAGTATTTTTTTCAAACTTAGCAAGTGTGTGGGATTTTGCCCTTAGCAATTAAATCCTCTGCAAAAGCAGCTAATTTAGTATCTCTGTGGTAATTCATTGAAGATGGACCTTTTCAGGGACTACACCAGTTGTAGGTGCAGGGTTTGAACCAAAAGCCCACTTAACCGCTGCCTTTATATAGGATTCTGTAACATACACAGATTTGAGAATACTGCTTTATGAGGCTACTGATAAAAATTTTTTCTTTCCTCCATATTATTTCATATTCAATTCAGAAAATAATATCATACATTGAGAGAGATTCTTTTTACTTCAGCTATTTGGCTGGGCATTAAATGTAAAATTTTTTCCTTGAGCCTTCATTAAAAAATGCTCCTATAAGGATGATTTATGATTTTGACTTAGGTAACTTGTGGATTGAAAATCACAGATGCACAAAAGTGTCCTTTACAATTGTGCATCTAGAATAGCTGTAAGAATAAATTAAATGGATCCATCTTTTCTTGGCATAAAAGATAGATGGACTAAATCCCCCTACTAAGCTTATTTAAAGAACAAGGTGAAGTGTACATTTCCTCAATCTCTAGCTCATGGTAAAAAAAACCCAACCCAACCCAACCCAAACCCAAAACCAAAATAAAACCATAAAAAAGGCACTTGGCTAAAATTTACAGTTATTTTTATTAACTTTAAAAAATTACTTTCTGAACTTAATTTTAGGAAACCATGAATTTGATTTTGGCCTTGGATATTCTGGAAGAATATATGTAACAAATACAGCTTTCCAGGTTTCCTCCACAATGTATATGACAGATTTACTTTGGAAACCCTAGGTGAAGGCACATTTAAAAACACAGTTAAATGGAACATGGAATAGTGTAAAAACTGGGTTAACAGGCTCAATACCTTTGTTACTATAAAAAACAATACAGGTTATATCAAAAATGAAAAGAAAAAAAGAAAAGAAAAGAAAAGAGAAAAGAAAAAAGTAAAGAAAAGAGAGAAAAGAAAAAAGAAGAAAAGTAAAGAAAAAAGAAAAAAGAAAAGAGAAAAGAGAAAAGAAAAAAGAAAAGAAAAGAAAAAAGAAAAGAGAAAAAAAGAAGAAAAAAGAAAAGAAAAGAAAAGAAAAGAAAAGAAAAGAAAAGAAAAGAAAAGAAAAGAAAAGAAAAGAGAAAAGAGAAAAGAAAAGGAAAAGAAAATAAAATAAAAGAAAAAAGAAAATAAAAGAAAAGAAAAAAGAAAAGAAAAAGAAAAGAAAAGAAAAGAAAAGAAAAGAAAAGAAAAGAAAAGAAAAGAAAAAAAAAAGAAAAGAAAAAAAAAGAAAAGAAAAAAAAAAGAAAAGAAAAAAGAAAAGAAAAAAAGAAAAAAAGAAAAACCCCCACTTTGGTTCATCTTTTCAGTGTAATTTTTAAAGAACTGACATTTTGGGAAATCCAGAGAAAAGATTTATGCATAAAATCAGTGATCACTGTGTATACTCAGAACCTTCAGGTAGTTGTGATTTTCTTAATGATTTATTTAAGAAATAAACAGCTAATAAGAATCAGGTTCAAATTTATTTAAAAACAACAACTCTTTTCAATGGCCATATCAGTAATACCAGGCCAGAAGGCATCTCCTTATTTCTGGATTTTGAGCTTTACTATGGCTGCATTCTGATTCCATATTGGAGTGTGAATTTAGGGGGTTGGAAGCTATAAGTGCTCCATGTCCTTTACTCTGTATTATTCTAGATACAATTAAATATACTTTGTGTACATTGTGTACTTTGTGTACATCCCATTGTGGTCATTGAATTTTTCTGCTTTTATAAATACAGTCTAGATTTATTTTTAACATGAATTTGTGGATTAGTTTGCCCTTCTATCTTGAAATTAGATCCATATTTCTTCCTGATTCAGCAAACTTAGACCACAGAGGAATGTGGCCTATTTTTTTTAATTGCCTCAGTTTAATTTTTAATGGAATGTTACTCTAGTTCACCACAACTAAATTTGATCACTACTAAAAGACAAAACTTTATCAAATGAAAATGGCATTTAGAAATCTTATTATCAGGTTTGATCCTAAAATATTACTGAATAGGAAAGCTCATAGCAGAACAAGTGCCCTTAACATCCCTCTGTGTTTACTTTCTGAATTCTTGGCAGAATTATTTGGTGACAGTATATGAATTATATGAATGGCATATGGATTAACATTAATTAATTTACCCTTGCAATAGTTACTCATTCAACAGTTAGAAACAATGGCAGAGTAAAAGACTGCAGCATTCAGTAACATTCTGTTTTATAGATGCTGGGACTTTCTAAGTGAAAGAGCACCATTCATAAGAATTTCCTTTATTATAGATATTTATTAGTAATACTACTGTGGCAGTTCAATCCCTAGAGGTTTACACTTAAATCTCTTATGTGATTATTGCTGTTGAGTTGCACAGTACATTCCTACTGTGAATAAAATACTTCTGACAAAATATTAAATTTTAAATAAGCTATTTTTTTTATAGTACACAGCACTAATACAGTCAACCACAGGTACACTCCTATAAAGCAGCTTTGCTATAGTGCAGTATGATGGCATCTGCTATATTCTCCGTTCCTGAGGGGACTCTAGAGATCACAAGACAATTTTAATTATACTGTTGGTATTCACTAGAGATGCTAAAAACAAGCACATCTTCATATGGAGGTGTTCATATGAACATCTCCATATGAAACTTGGAGATTGTTCATATTAGGTTGACTGTAAACTGACTGCAACCTGTGATATTAACTACCTTAAAACTATAGAAACATTTCTGTTGCTGACAGCAGGTGAATTCGTTTTGAACTTTTAACTGGGAGAATAGTTAAGAAAATTGCTTTGGAAGTGCACGTGGATGATAATGGTTCCAAGAATGGATTTAAGCAACAAGCTACAACCTGTTAATTTGATGTACATGGTTATTGGCTGTTATCATGTATTCTCAAGTTCTGGCATATTTCTTCTCAGTCTTCTTATGGGATTTAGTACAATCAGTTGAGTCCTTTTACCTTCCACTTTGCAAAGGCAATGTGAAAAAGAAAACCCAAACAAAAAAACCCCACCATTGATATTGAATTTTCAAATCTAATGAGCAAAATCCCAGATATCCACTGCATTTAAGAACTATTTCCCTACATGAGAATAAAATCCCTAATTCAGTCACCTGCAGAGTCATCTCTTGCAGTCCAGTCAAGCTTTCTTCTTAAGTCCTGCACTGGATGCAATTTTATTTACTGCTTTTGCAGAAATATTTTGGGTTTATCATCTTACTGTAGGTCTATGATCACTTCTGCTGTGCACCACAATTATCTGAAAATCATTTATATCAGATACTGTAAGAAAAAATGCTGGACTAGAATTCCACCTGCTTAGATAAGCTCCAGAGATGTATTTTGCAGCTTTGTTGCTGCTGCTATGACTAAGCTTCTTGTGAGCATGGATGCAGGGTGGAAGATGATATTTTATGCTTATTCAGGTTCATGGGACTGAAGGGATAATACACATTTTTCATGGTTTTCTTATACTGAAAATTATAAAACAAATCTGGTTTTTGAAACAGATTTCTAGAATTCAGGAATATTTGTTGTAGATAAGTATATTGGAAGCCTTATTATTCAGCATTTTTCAAAAGTAGTTCTTTGTCCAGCTGATACAGAACTAGGTGCTTATATAAATATTGTATAAGCAGCAGAAAGCAGTCTAGGGAATCCTATAGTCAATGCAGTACTAGAAGCTGATCCTGCTGATGTAGCACTAGCTACTTTAGGTCATCATTTAAAATGTATCTGGTCACCAAATGTTTTGAGTAAGTTTATATTATTTAACCTTGGAAATGTGTCTTAGTTATTTAGTTTGGAGTAGCCATTCAAAAATATCTGAGTAAGATCAAATCCAGAAATCAGGGATTTGTAACACAAAAGAAGGCATTCAAAGAAAGTTACATTAGAGAAAAAGAAACCTCCAAAGAAATTAAGAATTTAAAATTTGCACAAAACCTGCAAATCTTAATGCTTCATACATTAATAAACATCTGAAAATAATCACTTAACACATGAGCTGATCACTTAAGCTAACAGCTTCAGGTTATGTTTATTAACTACAACAAACATGTATACTGGTGCATATAGGAACACATAACCTTATAAGAAATAATTTTGAAAGTGGTATTTATCAGTCAGATAGTGTTGGTGATTCCCATTACTTAAAGATCTATTATTCTGTACACATTCTGTTGAGGTTTGGGGGTTTCGGTTTCCTTTCCTTCCCCCCCCCCCCGCTTTTCTCTTAAAAGATATGGTATTGTGGTTTTTTAAAAACCCCAAACAATAGACCTCTAAATACAGAAGTCATTGAATCAACGTTTGCTTAATTTTCTAAGACAGTTTACTGCACATAAAGTATATGTACACATCTTTGCGATACTGATTCCTACATCATTGTTATTTGAATACCTTTTTAACACATATTCTTTCTTATCATAACCTCAAACACCATCCAACCTCAAATCTTTCAACAAGAAAATGTATTATTTAGCCAAACATTTATGAAGAAAAATACTACAGGAAATTTCATTATTTCATTATGATTTTGTATATACCCTTTTTTTAAACTGAGTAGACCCAGCAGAGGACTTTACTATGGATGATCTTTTTGCTGTCCTCCCTGTTGGAGATCCCCTGCTAGTAGTCAAAATTCCAGGGAGACAACTCCTGGAAGCCTTATAGAAGGAGTTTTACAGGTACCCAGCTCTTGATGGAAAGTCTGTAGAGTGATCATCTGGTCTGTTCTACATGTGCTGGAATATATTAGCTGTCTTAGACACTTAAACATTTTGACTTAATGCTGATAAAGGTATAGCAAACCTTGTGTCATGCCTGTATGAAGTATGATGATTACTTCTCTACCAAAAAAAAAAAAAAAAAAAAATTAAAAAAAATAGTATTAGTACTATACTATGAAAATATAAAAACTGGGATAAATTCTTAGATACCTTTTATTTGGTGGTGTCTTTACATAGATGTTCAGTTCTGGACTCCTGGTGAGGAAACTAACAGCTGCTGCCTCAAATACACTTAATAGTAGGATATTTGGTGCATATATGATCTTACTGTTCATTATTGTAAGAGCTGTATTTTTTTTTTACCCTAAGTTTGGCTCTTACTCTATTGTTCTGAATGGTTCATAAACTTGATTTATTCCCTTTTTCTATCCAGTATTTGTCTTCTTAACTTCCAGATTCCCTCAGGTAGTAGGAATAGAATTCTGCCTTCATCCAGATGCAGAACCAGGGCACAGAACCGTAGGAGACTCAGCAAAGGATTCTATCTGAAGGAAAGCAAGGTCTACCAATTTGGCATTAAGAAATACTTGGTTAATGTAAATTGTGATATGTTTAGCGTTATTATTTGGGCTTCTGAAGCTTTATTTCTATAAAGTACAATCTGATTGATTGCTAAATTATGGAAGTCTACTGGATTATAATTTGATTCTTTTCCCTTTTTCCTCCCTCAGCTTCCAGACTTGTTTCTTTCCTGATATTCCTATGTGTTTGAGAAATATGCCTGTCATTCTGCAGATTAGAAAACACAGATATCAAGCCTGTTTTTTTAACTCTCTTACTCGTTTCCTAGTAAAGTTCACACATGCAAATACTATTTTTGCATATTCAGATTAAGCATAGCTATTTGTAGCCAGTCTCTCAGTCTTATTTGCATGCAAAATGTACATGTTCAATCTGGAAGTTGTTTAAGAAGGTAGCTCCAAGCAATTTCAACTCACTTTTCCAATGAATAAAAAAATTCATACTAAACAAAAACTGGAATAGTTTTATTACTAATGCTTTTGCAACCTTACAATTCAAAGTAATTTTGAAATAGGCATTTACATGTGCATATTTACAGAACTGTCATATATAATAATATTTTTATTTCTCTCAGAGACTTGTTTTTATGGTCATATTGTAGTCATCCAGTTTACTGGGAATTTGAATAATGCAAATAAAGTTATATGATATATGAAATACAAAACATTAGGACATCAGTCTGTGGAAACTTTACCTGAGCGCAGCTGGGAAAAGACAGGAAAGACCTGTGACTACTGCCTAGTACTCAACCCTGGAAGGCCACAGAACTGCTACTTGATAAATATGGTAATATTTCCTCAGCTGCTTCGGAGATTATTCACAGTTGATCATTTTGGGGCAATCACTCCTGCAGGCAGGAAGAGAGGGACATGAAAATGAAGGAGGTAGATAACACTCTAAAGAGGTCAAACCCAGTTCTGAAATTCTAGTCTGTTGTAGAGAAGTGGATCTAGCACACAGAGGCTTTAGATTTAGCATATAATGCTTTCAAGGGACAAAAGCCTTTCTGATAAAGTCCTCTCTTTACCCTGATGTAGAGTCTGTGACAAAATTATTTTTGGAGCATGTAGGTCTACTGATACACTCAGGCATTGTCACCATCTATCTCTTTTTCTTTCTGAGCCTCTCATAAACATCTCATAAACGTTCTTAAACATCTGGAGAGAGTAAAGATTGTACAACTCTATTTCCTCCAGGCAGATGTTTTCTTCTAATGGGTTTTCCATAGTTACAAAAGTGTGATTTAAAATAACTTCTGTACCAAAACAAAAAAAAACAACCAAAATGCTTTAAAGGCAGCTAACACCATATGGTTATCCGAAGATCCCCTTCAGCTGTGGTATATCTGAGACTAAAGTGGGATATGTGGATAGGACAAGCGGTAATGGGCTAAAATTTAAACAGGGGAATTTTAGATTAGATATAAGGAGGAAGTTCTTTACTGCAAGGGTGGTGAGGCACTGGAATGGTTTGCCCGGGGAAGCAGTGAATGCTCCACCCTTGGTGGTGTTCAAGGCTAGGCTGGACAGAGCTCTGGATGACAAGGTCTAGTGTGAGGCATCCCTGCCTATGGCAGTGGGGTTGGAACTAGATGACCTAGATGTCCTTTCCAACCCAAACCAGTCTATGATTCTATGATTCGGTGATTTTAAATCCTGATTTACTTGGCAGGTCTGAAAAAATCCCCCCTAAGATTTTTTTTCTTCAGAGCCATGATGTTTGAAAACTTCTTCTCAGTGATGTTTGAATAAAGTTGTTTCCCTCTAAACACTATTTACTTATGAGAATAGATGGATGGTGATCCAAGTAATTCTTTAGATCACTGAAATACTAACTTAAAGGTCTTTGTAAGAGACTTTTGCCATCTATTCGTGACCCTTACAGGCTGAAACATACTCTTTTATTTTCATACCGATAAAATATGCCTCTGTCAAAAGTCTGAAACACAGAAGGAAATGCTAAAAAAGTGGAACTTACAGGCAGTTCAAGACAGTAAAATCCTTTTAATAGTCCAGAAAGCAGTGCTCTTCTAGTCAAAGACATGTAAGATGCTCAAGAAGTGAGGCATTATTCTTTGCCACTTAAATGAACAGTTTATGGCATGCCTAACAGTGGCTTACCTTGCATCTTGCTCTATTTTTTCTACACATAAAACCTATGAATATAAATCTGCATTTCTTTGGTATCATATGTTTCATCTTGTGAACTTGCAATGATGGCTTTAATTTAGAATATTTATTCCTTCATAGACAGGAAGTTAAGAATATGATCTATGGTTTTTAAAATGTACAGAGAGGCAGAGATGTCACTTAGTAGTAAATGCAATAAGAAATAACATTTTAATCTCTTCCAGAATAGTACAGAGAAGTCTACCTGACATTCTGGGATAAGTACCTGTTACATCCTTTCGATTCTAAGAATGGCGTGAAAAGCAAAAGTAGTTGAAACCATTTGCATTGATCTAAATTACATAAGCCAGACAAAGGGTTATATGATCCTATGAATGGTGCTGAAAAGCACAAAAAAGGTCTGCCTCAAAGCATTAACATTAGCTAAACCCTAAGTGATTTATAATCCCATGTTTGTAAAGCTTTAAAAAATTCTGTTGGGAGTAGATGGCTTTGTTTTGAGAAAGTATGAAGGAAATCAGGTCAAAGCCACAGAACAAAACCTAGAAACATTATCAGCATTCCACAATGGAGGGTTCAAGATAATGCAGTGATGATATAATTTCTGATGAAAGTATATCATACTGTCTCAAAGTTCAGCGAGAAACAGAAGTTCCTCTTCCCCTTCTAAATGTCCATATAGCTGTGTGAATTGCTTTATTCTCATTTTTTTTCTCTGAAAAGCCAATGACAAAATGTAACTTTTGTTTTTTTCTGTTGGACCTACTCCTAGCACAAGTATCTCCTGACGGGTAATAAAAGCAGTCTAATTAATATATTCCTTTCCTTATTGATCCTGGTCCAGCAGGAATTTTTGGTGCAGCAAAGAGTCATCCTATTCACTGCCTCTCGAAAGCTGATATAGCTCCCACATTACTTTAAATGGCTCATGAGAACAGTGAGCTGGGGTTCTCTAATGGGCTTCATGATACACGCATACAGGTCAAGCCAGGTTATTCTACCTCTTAATCCCATATTGGCTCCCTCCTTATTTGTCATATTTAACCACATCATCTTTTTCCTATCATAGAAAATAAAAATAATAATAAAACTGTGAATTTGAGGGCAAAGACTTAAAACGGTACTGTGTGTACCTGGCATGTATGAAATCTCCAGCAAAAAGCAGTAATAATTAAATTGAAGCTTAGCTTAGCCTCAACTCATCTGCATGAGACTAGAGAAGTGATGTGGTAATGAGTAGTTCAAAAATTTGAACAAAGAGTAATTCCACAATTGTGGTCTTAGTCATAATGAAATTTGGATATTTATCAAACTTAAGAGTTTATAATAAAAAGTGGGGTTTAAAGGGTTTATTGAATATATCAGAGTTACCATATAATCAGATAACATTTGTTTAAATGCTCAGTAGTTAATACACTTATTTTTATTCTATTTTTTTAAATACATATATTACTTTTTTTTTTTTTAAATTTGCCACAAGCGTTTGAAGAAAGCACAGTAAAAAACCATCAGTAAATGCAGTGTCTGGCATAGAAGGAAAGACTTGTCACATTTCCCAGAAAATGAACACTCATGACAACTCAGAATGGTGAGAGAGGAGGTTTTGCACATGTTCCCATGGCTCTCATCAAGGACTGCAGCAGCTCTGTCTCTGACTGAAGGTGATAAACAGCATCAAGCCTAACACGGTACCTAAAAACTGCATCTCGTATAAACTGGTAAGGTCAAACAGCAAGTTCTTACTGAACATTCAGCATAATTACGTTAAGTGTTATTTTGCATTTTCTTTACAGTAAAGTTGAAAAGTTTCATTATTATAAACATTTATTTGAGATGTGTATATATTTTGCACTCATCCATTATCTGACAACAGAAACATATTTGTTTTTGTAAAAGGTGTTTAAAAACTTGAGAAACAAATGTTCAGTTATTTAGTAACTGACTTCTGCTAATGGCTTTATTAATCAATTTTTCCTATTCATCCATAGGTATTATTGATTGCACTACTTGAAAGTAGTAGTATGTATACATTTTTTTATAATATTAAATTAGCAATATATTTACCAATATAAAAGTAAATGAGAAATCTGCTGGTTTCCAATAAAAAATAACTAGCACGCTCATAATAATACTTAACATAAGTCACAGTAATGATTGCAGGTGTATGCTTAGACAAACAGTATAAATTAACATAGAAAGGGAAAACATTTATTCCAATACATCATAGATCATAGAATCATAGAACATTTTGGTTGGAAGGGACCTCAAGCATCACCTAGTTGCAACCTCCCCATCATGGACAGGGACACCTTCCACTAGACCAGATTGCTTGAAGCCAGGGAAAACCTGGCCTTGAACACTGCCAGGGATGGGGCAGTCACAGCTCCCCTGGGCAACTTGTGCCAGTGTCTCACCACCGTCACATTAGTGAACTTCTTCCTAATATATAAACTAAACCTACCCTCTCCCAGTTTAAAGTCATTGCCCCTTGTCCTGTCCCTACATATCCTTTCAAGAGGTCCCTCTCTAGATTTCTTGTAGACCCCCTTTCGGCACTGGAAGCTGCTCTAAGGTCTCCCAGAAGCCTTCTCTTCAGGCTGAACAAGTCCAGCTTTCTTAGCCTGTGCTCCTAAGAGAGGATCTCCAGCCCTCTGAGCACCTTTGTAGCCTCCTCTGGATTTGCTCCAACAAATTTTCAAGTTAGACACTTACCAAGGGAACTGAAATTTGAAACTGAATAGAATTCCCTCTATCTAGAAAAGGCTAAGTGCAAGGTAATGGGATTCAGAATGTCATATAGTGACTGGGAGAAAAACTAAAACATAAAAGGTGTATCCAAGACCAGCATTTGCCCCTTTTCCCCTTCACCCATGTACCCCCAGCTAAAGCATGTAACTTGAAGATTCAGTTTCTGTGAAACAGAAACTTAGAAACTCCATCTTCTGCACTTAATAATGTGTGCAACTTCAGATACAATCATAGACTCATTTAGGTTGGATAAGATGTTTAAGATCATTAAGTCCAACTGTAATATAGTAGCCTTCTTTCACTTGACAGTAAAGTGTTGCCCTCTCACATGCCTATGTTATCACCCAGTCCTTAGGGCAGTTGCTATCAACAAGGGGAATTTTGGCTCTAGGATCATATGTTTAAACCCTTTTCCTGGAAGCACTCTGGTAACTGATCTGTAGAAAAAAACTACCATGATCAGTGATAAGAACATGTATCATTATACGTAACGGATACTGTTGTTCTAAGGGGTCTTAGGTCTTCAGGGCCTTTGGAGAATATAGGCCTAATTCATTCTACATTACAGTTCCTTCCTAGGAATACAGAAGAAATATTTGGAGAGGTGCAGTCACTCATTTTCCATGTTTTTAACAGTCACCAAGAGCCTGTTCCAGCAGTGTATGGGCAGTTCGCAGTGTCATCTGACCATGCTTCCTGCCATCTGTATGACTTCTCATGCCAAGTGGTAGCGCATGCAGCCAACTGTGCTGGCTCTAGTCTGTGTGAGGATTCCTGCACTACAAGGGGAGCAGAGCACAGCAATTTCAGGTGTAGCATGGCTGTTGCAGTGGGTACAGAAAAAGGCCTAGTGAGAGAATGGATTTGTCTGTAACGCCAGGTTATAAACAAGAGGCTGGTGGACAACTTTCATTGCTGCCTCAGAACTTCAACCTTACCTGTTTGGAAGACTCTCTTTTCTACAACTTGACATTTTCTGCTCCAAGTCCTTCATTATTACTGACTAAAATGTCAGTCATTTCAATACATTTTTTTTTTTCAGTCATCTATTACATTTGTGCTGTTTTTACAAAATAATGCTGAAATATGCTTATAGTGTTTTTCAGAGAGAGAGTTCAACAGTCTTTAGCAGCATCCTTTTGTACAAAAAATGTTGAATGACTGCTGTGATCACATTGCTGATCACTGATGATCATGACTCAGGTTTGTGCAATAACTACTGGATTGGTTTAACTATATTTGTTAAAAAGCTTAGATGTTAAATAAACTCATCTTTCCTGTAAGTAAAAAGACTCAGATAAATGTTAATAAATTACATTGTGTTTTATATTTTGTTGCCTGAACCAATTTGCTATCTGCACTATTTAAAGGTTTAGACATTTTCTCCTTTTCCTGCTCATGGTACTTAGGTAAGCAGTACTTGGAGACTAGTTCCAGAAATCTCCTTTTGATCAGTGGGTCACACACAAATGCTGAAAAACGTCTAATATTAAACTTCCTGTGAAGCAGTACATGCTAAACCAGCTTCATTTTTTTTTTTCTTTAAATCAGTGAAGAATTGTTAGCATCTATGGAAGACATGCATGTGCAATTTGGCTGTCATTTGATTTAAATTATGGTAATAATGATAATATAGTTACTGTTGCCAAAACATGCACTAACCTGTTGGATAACCTGTAGTACTTGCATTTAGATGTCATCTTGTTCCTGTAAAAGTGCCTTTCACTTAAAAAGCTCTAAGTGCTTTGCACATTGAGCATTGCTGCCACTAGAATCTACATGGAAAATGGAAGTTCTGAAGAACTAGGTTTTAGAAATCAAAAATGATGAGAATTTGACCTGTAAATCACACTGAAATAAGGCATTTTAGGAATAATAGATAGGCAAAGAAGGGGTATCTTGACTTTATGCTATTATTATCATTACACTATGTTCCCATCTTAAGCAGAATTAAAGAAAACTACCAGCGTAGCATGGTAATTTAATGCCATCATGTCTTTTTTTGTAGTTTAGAATTCAAGTGACAATCTAGATGACAAATAAAAATGAGTTTGGGAGCCTTAACTCCTAGGTGAGTATAATACAAAAATATCAGATAATTTTGTAGGTCATGTAATTGCTGTTCAAGTAAAACTGCACTATATACATTGGAAAAATCCACAACCATACAGCTAATTATTAACTCCTATGTTCATTTAATTCAGAATTCCTTAAAAAGATAAAAAGAGGGGTCCGGTTCTTTAAGATAGAACAAGACAGGTCTATAAATTGCCTGTACATCAACTTTTTGCAAACATTCCCTGCTTGGAAAGATATAAAAGAAAATTAGCATATTCTTCCTTCCCTGAAGTCTAATTCAAATTATTTTAGAACTAGTTTAACTTCTGACAGCTGAAATGCATACATTAGCTAGCTAGAGCCATCTGCAAGGCAAACACATTCTTTCCTCATATGTTTCTAATTGCAACGTGTTATCTTTCAGGCACTATCAGATGCCATGCTATGACTGGCAATGAGTTCTGGATTTATGTACCTCCCCAAGGATTTATAATCTGCATGGATTTAGGACAGAGTTTTGTGCATTTCAGTTATTTTCACACTTTGATTGCAAGTCTAAACAATATTCCTTGGGTAGCAACCTAATTATAAGAAGAGTTAATACCCCCAAACCACAGATTATGTTAGGGAGATTTGGATTACATAGGATTCTTTAAAGTATCATTTTTCACTTTTCATTGAACAGGATGGTAATCTAGATTTTTATGTAAATAGCTAGCATTTTCCATTTTATACAGATAATACAGAAAGGCTACATAAGACTTCCCTTCTACTCAGTGTGAATTTCATTGACCATCTCAGAAACACTGGAGTACATTACATAATTAGCATTTTAATACTTTTTTTAATGACAGTAAAAATGATTTTAAATAATGAATTTTTAATGCTGTATCAGTATCAAATGACTTACCATAATCTTTTTATTGGTTGCATTTATTTTTTCTGTTTCATCGTCTTGTTTGAGGATAAAAGATTACATGTGGAGTATATTTTAAGTGATTGCCTGATTACATTTTAATGCATTTCTGGAAATGTAGAAATATTTCAACTGAATGTTGAAAATGTTTGATGGAAAATGGAATACATTATTATCAATTATATCTAGTAAAAATCCCAAATATAGTTAATGCAGCTTTTTCATCCTAAAATGAAACTAACTTTAAACAAGCCATCACCAATACAGTATCATCGTGATACGTATCACTTGTATAACATGAAACTAGAAATCATGGGAACAGTTTTATTTCACTTGTTAATTAGTACTGAGATGTTGAGGACATGAAGCTGAAGGAGTCTTTCCAAATTTTATATAGTAGAACAGACATTAATAATGTTGTTGATGTAAAGCAACACTGCTGACAAGTGCCTGAGGAGTATTGGGTTAGGATATGCTGTAGTACTGAGTCTAGAATATCTTTCCAACTCAAAACCTACTTAGTTAAGTGCACACAGGATACTGACTGTTGCTACAATATTAAAGGAAGTGCTTACAGATATATTTGAATTTTGAAAAAATCCTGTTCAGAGTTTCAGGGTAGTATGTCATACATGTCTCAGTGCATCAACTGACTGAAATGGAAGATCAGTCCCAAAGGGCAAAAAGTAATGAAAAATAATAGCACATCATCTTGTCTCCCTTGGGTAGAGTTCAGCAGTCACAATTCAATCAAAAAAACTGGATAAAACTGTCAATATTCAGGAATGTTTTAATGAAGAAAAAAAGGAAAATCAATGTCTGCCATCAGATCCTCTGGATAACTTCCAATGACTTGTATGGGCCACCTGGGTGTAGAGGATAAAAGCTGATGCTGAAGTGCCAGTGGAGGCTGTGTATCCAAGTAAGTAGAAAGTGTCCTGTGTAGCATTCAAACGGCAAGATAAAGCCACATGGTTTTGTACTTAACTCTGTCCCGCTGACAGCTTTTCCTTGAGAAGTGATCCCTGAGATTTTTGTTCTACAGTGTCAGTCTGCTGACCTGCCCAAAAACATTCCTCAGATTAGATTTTTCAGTTTATTCAGCACATTTTCTCCAGTGCATATCACAGATGAAGTCTGTCCTATAGATTTTAGGGAACCAAAATATGAAATATGCATACTTCAGCCTTTTTTTTAGGAACACTGTACTTTTTAAAAATAAGAAATCACTGTGTAAAAATATAATCAAGCAAAAAGCTAAATATCCTAAATTAAATATTACATTTTAGGGTTTAATCTAGAACCTTACAATTATGGTTCTTATAGATTCCGCTCAGATTTGGATCACTGCTGAAGTCCATCATAAGCAGGTATATTTAACTTCTATCATCCTTTGGTTCCCAACATAAAAAGTCCTAAAGAACTATTTTGGAGAAAGTTGATTTTCAGTTCTGCATCAGGCCCCTCTAGAAGGAAGGCCTCATGCTGGGAATGCAAATAGAGGCACCCAAAATTAGGAAGTGTTTTTGGAAATTTGAATTCAAACGTTTACCTCTACAAAACCCAGACTTTAGATGATTTCTGACAGAAGCTGACTGCTTCCTGGGAAGTACTGAAACAAATAAAAGGATGCTAGTATGAAAAGAGTTAATCACAGTAGTAAAAAATTCAGCAAACCCTAGCTACACCCCAAGCAGGTAAAGAACACACAGGGTAACAAACAAGGCACTGATTGAAAAAAATATTAAAGCTTAATTCCACCACACAAAATCTAGTGAAATGACTGCAAAATACTACAAACAACTCAAATTTTATTCCAAACATTTTAATAGTATTATAGATAAGAAAGACAAGCAGATCAGAGCAGGATCAATTTAACCAGAAAATTGCTTACAAAAGATCTGCTCTTGTTCCCACAGATACTGACAGCATATTACAGGCAGACTTCAAGAAAAAACAGATCTAAGCCTTCAAATTGTTACTGTATTTTTACAAAAGTATGTATCTCAAAAAAGCAATAAAGAAAAAAAAAGTACAACCCACTCTATGCTTTTTTTTTCCCATGGAGGTTGTCTCCCAGAGTTGCAAGTCTTCATTATGTACATTTGTAATCTTTTAAAATTAATTATCTCTTGGAAAATCAATATAAAATAAAACAATATAGTCCAAGTAACAGTTTATTGTTTAGGCTTTGAAGAAAGGCAGAGTTACACAGTTAGAAATGCCATACAAAATTGTCACACCTATTAAATTTAGGAAAATGTAGCCACCGTGTCATCAATTCTTCCTGTACAAAAGGGGCCAATATTACATTGGACTTTTTACTCTCCTTTGTTGCCTTTTTCAAAATAAAACCATAGTAATGTGCTGTTAAAAATTATCTGAGTAACTCTTATCTAATTAGTTAGTACCTATGTTTCTTATGTCTCAATATATTTTAGAATATTTTACTTAAGGATACTGTTTTATCAGACATCCTGGTTAAATAATTTTAAATTACATTGTTACTGGAATTTCAGACTATGTCAGCTAAATTAATTCTTCATGACGTTTTTATTTTTATTTTAGCATTTTCTGATATCAAAGGTAGAAGCAATTTCAACTTAACAGGTGAATCAGTCCTTCTCTTTGCTGAGACAGGAGCAGTAAATTCATAAAATTAGAGAGACAAATGAAAACTGCAGTTAAAATCCCAGTCCTGGCATATATAAGAAAGGTGTTTAAAATTATTGATAATATTTCAGCATACAAACCTACACATATGCATGAAGCAAACATTAGCCTATGACCTAAAACCCCTAGCTTTTAAAAGACTTGTTTGTATCAACATAAAGAGGGAAAATCACCGAATGCTCTAATGCAATCTTAAAGCTTTTAAAATGTTATGCCTAATGCCACCAGTAATAGAGACAATCATCTTTAGATAGAGACAAAGTAACTAGATAATACTGTAATTACAGAAAATGCATTACTGTCACAAACATGACTATGTGGTGATGGTGAATTTCAATTGTTGTATATCTGTAAGTTCACACATATTTAAAAAGATGCCAAGAATTATTTAGTCTAATTAGCATAGTTAGACTTGTAATTTTTAATTTGATACATATATTCTCAAAGAGATTATTTTATGCAGCCTGTAGTAAAACTAAATATTAGTAGCTGATTTACTGCTGTTTTTCAGGTTAAGTGAAAAGTTTCTGGTCCTAATCCCTTTATAGCCTATAAGAGATTGACCATATTGGCCTTGCTCCAGTAAAGAAGCATAAGTACATGCTTAATAAAATCCCCAAATTCATTTCATCACATTTGGCAGATGGCACCTTCCACAACACATTTCTCCTTGTTCTCTGCTAGAACAGGGGAGTACACCACCTACTGAAAAACCACAGGTCTCCCACACAAATCCTCATACCAGATACATACATATACTCACATGCTTTTCAAGATGAAACCACATTGTACTTTGTAGGGTCATGCCCTTAGAAATAAAAATGGCCTTGTACCTTCCTGAAAAGTAAGCCTCTAGTACTATGTTTTAGCACCTTATTCCCACAATAGTTTCTAATGTCCTTTTTATCATTTAATAGATGCTTTTTCACTTTCATTTGAAATACTGTGTAAAGCAGCAAGTATAGAATGATTGCTGAACTGGCTGCAGTTTGTTACTGTATCTCAGCAATCTCTATATAGAGTAACTATAAAGTGCTTTAGAATTGTTTCACATGAAAGGTGCAAATAAATACTGTGTCCTCTTATGTGATCTCCCTGGAGATGCATAGTCCTGGTGAGCCCACACTTGAGAGTATCCCCAAATAGTTACAGCAATTCAATAATGGTACTGATCTCTTACACTGGAGAACGCTCCTTTCTCCAATATTTACTGGGTTAGTGTCTCACATCATCATAGCCAGGAGGCCTGCTGCTTGTCCTCCATTAGCTGTCTTGCTGGATCCACACACATTCATCGGGATGGGTAAGAAAAGGTGCGGTGCTACTCTGGAAATCTGCACAAAAATGGTCCCTTTAATGTGTAGGACTTGGGGTTGTTTGATTCCTTCTGATTGCCATTTGCTGAAATATAAACTGTCAGTACAATGTGCAGAATCACTTCTTTTTTGGTTAATAGGCTCAAAATTGCAGGCACTGAGTACAGCATATTTCCACAGTAGAGTGCTGACAGGTCTATCAATCGTCAGGATCTGGGCTACTGAAATAGCTGTCATAAATGTCTGTTAATGCATGGTCCAGCACTGCTTATAATTCCCTGCTCCCTAAAGATCTGACTATAAATGGGAAGCATATTTATTGCTTTGATGTATGAGGAATTGAAGCATCGATGAGCGAGCAAAGTGTGTCAACATAAAGTCAAACCCCAAAATGACTCTATGGATCATATTCTTTTGTAGTAGACAGAATCCCCCTAAGCACAGTATTCCATATTTCTACTGAGTAATTCTTTTATACATTAGGGGTAAACCCTGTTTCCACCAAAATTGAGGCAAAACTCCCACTAAATTAAGTACTATCTAGAATTCACATTATACTTGGAACAAAACTCAAGTACTTTGTCACACATAGCACAAGTATCAAATAGCCTCACAGCATGCTTGATGCAGTCTATTACAGTTCTGAACGACAAAAATGCAGTATCAAGCATTTGCCTTCTTCAAGTTTTTTCTATTCACATTATTGTGGTTCACATGACTGCTTTTTTCCATAGCTGTGATTATTACAGACTAAAAGGGAAAAAGAAATAACAAAGAAAACAGAACACAATAAATCCTATTACCCAGTTGACTGAATAAATGTAGATTATCACCATGTCCATATCAAACCGCCATACACGGCTATCATCCTCGAAGTCCATGTAGTCCATTCTGTGAGCAGCATGTGGGAAATGCCTCCTTGTTACAGTATCTGAACGTCTTTGGAAACCTGACAAAAAACAAACTGGAAGATAAAATTCTGTATAAAAGCAATGAGACTGATAAAAAAAAAAAGTTAACCCTGCCAAGACTGAATTTACTTCAAAAATGCTAATTTCAAAACTTACATCAATTTCAAACCTGTTATTTTTCTTAATTTCTTTTCTAACACTTTTAAAGCATTATTATCAATTAGAAACCTAGATTTATTTATTACGTTCTAATTTTTACATTTAATTCGGAAGTGGCATTACGTTTTATGATATGAATGATACTAATGCGTGTCATTAACTGTGCCTTTTACACATGAATGAATATCAGTGTATATTATACTCTCTGGGGGGTCTGCGTCAATATTGCTATCTGTGCTTTCTTTTTATTTATTTCTATACTTAATGTAGATATAAAACAAAATGCTAGAGGCTGTTTTTGGATCAAAAGGGATAATCAGAGAATTATGGAAACATGTAGCTACATTAGTTTTAACTTGTTAGTCATCGCCTTCTAGAGGATTTGGGCAAGTATTACCCCTGATTTGTACATCTGCAACTCACCTTAAGCAAACCTGCACTGAGTTTATGACAGATTAGACTCTGTAATGTAATTATTATACACTGAAGAAGAGCATTTTCAGTTTAGGAAACCAGCTATTCTCTAATTGCTCTTCATACAGAAAGCCACAGAAATATCGTTGGTGCTGTATTAAAGGCATTTATACAGTCAGCAACTGCTTACTATACCATATGTAATCCCTGTGGCTTCCCTGAGTGTGAGTAAAGCTACTACATATATATTTATATTCTGTGGCTGAAATAGTGTCTTTTTTACCATCTGTAAATTGATTAAGCTTCAGCTGAAAATGTCAACAGTAGAATTATTATGTAAACTGAATTCCAGGACTCAACAGAGGCTAACAAAAAGAAGAATTGAAGTATATTACCAAACTTTTGTACAGTACTGAAACCAAGTATCAGATTTAGAAACCCTGTATGATCATACATAAATATTACTGCAGACTCTATGGTCCATACTGCAACTACCATCTTTAATAAATTCTGACATGAAAAATACCTCCAAATGTCTCTCCCTCCAGCTAGAGTGGAAATAAGCCATGTCTTTACATGTGATTCTAGCCATCTGTGGATAACAACTAAGAGTTGTAGAGTTCCTCAAAACATGGAATAGCGGTTTGCACTATGAAACAGGAGAGCTGAGGGAGCTTCAAATTACTTCTAATATATTTACTCCTTTTTTAAAAAGAAACCCTATCTTATTTGATGAACACAGTCCCTAAATGCTTTCTACATGGGCATGTATTTGTTAAAACAAATTTTACTAAACTTTTTTGTGCATGGCTATGTCGCTATATTCTGAGCAAGAACTTCCACTCCAATCACATGAATATGCATGCACAGTGCCAGCAGTCTGGCAGGCTGTTAGTGGAAACTTGTTACTAGATAACAAAAGCAATGTTGTGTTCAAGTCACACTTTTATAGCCACCAAAGCATGCAAATCAAAAAGGATTTTCACCAAAGCATCAATAGGCACATCTGTTATATGCGTCCCTGCCAAAGTTTCAGCAACCTCCTGCTGAGGTACTAGCAATACTCAAAATAAAAGTACAAACAATCAAAGATATTCTCCCAGTATTGTAAATGGACTGACCTCATTTCGCTATTT